GTGTATGTGAAGAAATACAGTTTTAAGGTATGCTATATTATAAGATAAAGTGCTCAATATCAGAGATAGAGTGTATGTAAATACATAAGTGAACATTGAAGTCAGCATACAAAGGCGACAGACTGTTTCATGGTAAACGCAAACAATATGACCTGATGATTGCGTTTAGCATGAAACATTCTATCTCCTCTTATTTCAATGTCCACTTGTATATATATATATATATATATAAAAAGAAGAGAAACGCAAACATTTTGGGTTATAATGTGATTTTTTAACATATATATATATATATATATATATATATATATATATATATATATATATATATATATATTATATTCATATTTCATAAATGGAAAATAAAAGCATAATATTTATATTTGAAATATATCCACACACACACACACAAACACACACACACACACACACACACATATATATATATATATATATATATATATATATATATATATATATATGTGTTTGTGTATATAGGCACTACATGCTCTTTTAGGTATATCTGATTAAATCAATTACAAACATTGTCTGTTTATTTTTAGCATAATCTGTTCATATCCATGGATATTTTTCCGTGTATTACAATCAAATGATGCAAAAATGCACTGTAACAGTGAAAATTACTTTAATTTCCCAAATTCATTCCATCTCTTTCTGAAATCATCATCAGGGATGCAATTAACAAGGCAAAAACTATGTGTAGCTATCCATTACTGTTTTCTTTTTTTTCTTCTTTTTGGGTTTAAATGCAACGGCTGACAGTTATGCTTTAGCATGCATTAGAACGTGAAAAAATATCCACTATGGATTTTCTCTTTATATTGGAATGTCATGGTCAGAGGCGCATTAAAGCGTGTAATAGTTCTTTTTATAGGCATTTTAGAACATTATTACAGTATTCGTAGCAGATACTATTCAGTGTCGGCTTCAATTTTTAAATGTAGATTGCTTCGAGGATCTGTAGATTTAATTTGTTATTTTCTTGGTGTAAGATAGTTGTGTTATCAATCAGTATTTTGCTATACTATGAATGTGCATAGCAATGTTGGCGTAAATGTCTCGCAATGGTCAGACATATTTAGAGTAAGATATATATATATATATATATATTAGTAATATGTACGAAATATACATTCATGCTTGAAACTTTAAATAAACCATAAAGTTGCTGTAAATGTCCCATTTTCTGCATAATAATTGGAGAATCCTTGCATTATAAAGAAAATATTGTTGGCTCTTTATTGCTTGTCTATCACATCGTTAATAAACTATAGAAAAATTCAAAATGTATGGAAACAGTTTAAAGAAAGACTAAGAGTTTAAACGCTTGTCTTTCTCTTCTTGCTTCGTTCGCTGATGAAATGTTTTCTTATGAGGAAACGACTGAATAATACAATTGCTGTTATCAAATCCTACAAATCTATGGTTAAATCTAAGAGAAACTAACATTTCAACATGAACGATATTGTGGGAAGGATAAAATTTCTTCACTGGTATTTTTCAAATGGAATTATCTATTATGTATTTCAATTACCTTGTAAACTGTCAGTAATTGGTACTCACATGAGCAATTGACTCCTTTGAATTATGTATTGAAACACAAATACAAATTGAAAATCAAGTATTTACACATTGAACGGTGTTGTTGCTGGTGGTGGATAGGAACTCGACAATTACAAATTTATGACACATCTTTACAGTACCAAGTTACTTCAAAAGAAAGAATACAATTTTGAAAAATTCTAAAAGTTTTTTTATAATTTAAATTAACTTCTTTGTTGACTAGAGAGTCATTCTCTTCTAACGAAAACCTTTGCAATGTGACCAATCCACGACAGTTCTTAGTTTTGTAGCTTTTCAATAGACTTTCAGAGTTTCAATACTTTGGTGATAATAACGAATCTCATAATTAGTTGAAACATTTTCTGAATTGCAAAGAATAAAACGTACCGTTTCGTAAAGTCTACCCTGTAAAAAATAACTATTGCTACAGTTAATGAATTAATTATTTGTATGGCTGTATAGCTGTCTCAGTGTCGACAAAAAACGCTCTCAAACGCATTTAAACATAAGCTGTTATACAAAGTTTAATTTTTTCTTTTTAATAGGTTTTAAAAATGATTTCCTTCCTGTATTCAATAACGTTTCCTTTTCTTTTTCTTGCTTGAAATTCTTTGACAAGTTATAATTAATATATAATATATATTTCAGATCAAATTTCAACTTGTTGACATTATAATCATTTTTCAGTTTTCTTTACTTCTTCAAATAACACACCAATTTTTTAACCTTTCACGAAGAAAGTTGATTGAATATTCTCATTTAATTACAGGGCCTTTCCAGAAATAATCAAGCCATTTAATATCCACGATAAAATAGCCTGTCTGGGGTAATGTAGTCTTAGTTACCTTCAAAGCAGTCACCTTGAGATGTAAAATATTATTTATCAAACTTCTTTTCCACTTAAAAAAAACAAACTTTGCAGCTCCTGTCCTTTTCTTTCAATTTCTTGGTGGTGAAATTTCTAAGTCACTAAATCTGAATTAACACGTCGAAATGATGCAGTGATTTGCCGAAACAAACTTCAAGAGACTTCATTATCAACGATAATTTAGATACAGATATGTTGCTAGTCATTTTTCTGGTTTTCTCTGTGTTTAAAATACAAAAAAAAACATTTATATTTAAGTCTAATTCTGTAGAAAAATACTATGCTATTTACATGGCACAGTGGATAAAGGCGTTAGTTAGATCCAAAGACAAGACCCAAGAATTTGAGTTCAGTACCTGGTTAAGGCGGTGGAGATCTTGGAGAGGGGAATTAACAGGAGATAACTGATAACTGACATCCATTATACATGGCAAGTGTAACTACCCCAGCGAGCGAAATAAAGGGTTCAGTTCGACTGAAGAATGCCAGAGCGTAGAATGGCCGAAACGTTGTGATAAATATGGCAACAAAGGTGAGGACAATAGTCCAAATAATGTAAATAGTGTAAATAACACCTCCTCTCAGAAATATAAACAGATATCAAAAATAGTATGATATGAACAAGAATCAAAACATAATATTTCTGAATTAGAATTAATTTATTAATCTAAATTTTAAATAATTTGTAATATAATATTCACAATTTATATTTTAATAATAATAATAATAATAATAATAATAATAATAATAATAGGTTCTGTGACAAATACCAAGAAACAATAGACCATCTAATCTCAGGATGTTCTATACTTGCCCCAAATGAATATAAAAATCGTCACGATAGAGTGGGGCAATACTTACACTGGACAATGTGCAAACACTTTGGAAAATGTGTAAGCAAACACTGGTATGAACATCGGCCAGCGCCGGTTACAGAAATAGAAGATGTCACCATTCTATGGGATTATACCATCCACACAGACAGAAAAATTGAAGCAAATAGGCCGGACATTATTGTCAAAAACCAGAAAGAAAAAATTTGCCTACTAATTGATATGGCTTGTCCAGCGGATTGTAACATAGCAACCAAGGAATTTGAAAAACTATCAAAATACAAAGACCTGGAAATAGAAATAGAAAAAATGTGGAAATTGAAAACAAGAATAATACCAGTGGTAATAGGTGCACTTGGAATTATAAAAAAATGGAACAAAACAACACACTGAAAGAATCCTGAAACCCCAGCTTAAGAGACATACAGAAAATTGTCTTATTAAGTACAGCACACACACTAAGGAGAACTTTGTCTATGTAACGCTAGCAACTTCATCGGAGATAAAAAAAAAAAAAAAAAAAATTAACATGAAATGTGTATAACAACACACCACGACCTGCCTTAGGTCTTTCCGCAGACTTGGTAGGTAGTGTGTCCATAGCAGAAATAATAATAATAATAATAATAATAATAAAATAATAATAATAATGGTATAATGGAACAAAATTTGTAATAACATGGCAATGCTTCAGATTAATACAACGTAACCTAATCAAGATTAGAGGCAAATTACTTTCAAACCCCAAACTCACGCCTGTTTACAAAGGGAGGTCTGTACACCTTAATGTATATTGGCTGCATTACTTTCAAGCGAAAGTCAGATTTTGCCCGATTCAGAACTGAGAATAGGTATTTATTATAGGACAGAGTAAATTGTTGGTTATGTAACAGATATTTAGATGTTGCAGACTTGGATGTATTGATGCCCTTATGCAAATTATTGAATTGCCCTTGACAATTAACAACAAACACAATATGTTGATTTATTCTTATGTCTAGCCTCCGATTAGGTCTACCTATACAATCACACTTCTTTTTAAAACGGTAATTAATTAAACTAATATGATGATATGTCAGAACATCTTTACGGATTGAATTTAACATCTATCAGGCAAAAAGGTTAACACTTGGATCAGCACAAATATTTTTTTTTTCAAAACTGCACAGATTTTATTAACAAATTTCACTATTTCGCAGCAACAGCAAGAATACAAGAAATTTATCAGAATCAATGAATTTATTTATTTATTTTTATCTATTTTTTTTTTAAATGTACCATTTTATTAGATATATCAAATTGCACAATATCAAGAGCGTAGCCATTATCGCACAAGATTTTCTTAATAAATTAAATTTCGGAATTATTATTTGAGCAAATCATGAAAATACCACGAGATTTCAAGGTTTTACTTTCTTTGTTTGTAACAAAATTATCCCAACGGGCATGTAAACCGTCGATTAATATTATTGCGAATGAAAGAGGCGCACAGATGTTAACTTAGTGGAATCTCAGAGTCGACTGAGTAACTCAGTGGGAGGGTAGATGTTCATATATACATAATAAGGTCCTCTATGATGAACCTGCCAAATGTTCTTGAGATATTTGAAAGGATGTGTACCTTCGAGAGGTCAATTTTACCTGTCACGTACCTGTCACATCAGGTTTATTTTCCTGGGAATTTCACAGCTCGTAACCGTTAACATTTTCTTAAAATGACAATCCGTTTGTCAACTGAGCCTGTACATATGTCTGCAGAAACTAACCAGGCATTATGTCGTATATAACATAACGTATCTTCTGATAAACCGTCATCTTTCTAGTACTGCTGACATCTTTTATTATATCCAGAGAATTTCTCACTCTTTTTCATTCATTTGTTTCATCTTTCATTTCGTCTCTTCCCTCTTCATTCACAATTTTGGACTTTGTACCAACTGCCATTTTTAGACCTCGTTTAAATTTGATTATGTCTATGAATAACCTTTCTTATATACTTTCTTCTCTTTTCTATCTTTTTTTTTATTTTGTCCTGCAGCCATTCACCTCTACTAAGTATTTTTCTTTTCTTCTCCTTCCTGTCATATATATATATATATATATATATATATATATATAGTATTACACAACAAAATCCAAAATTATGGGGTATAGATCTATTTCAACCGACGAAAACTTCGTCAGTCTTATTCAACCACGGTGTGTAGACTGAGTTCGTTTCAGAAATAGAAATTTAACTGTGACAGCCGTTGAAAAATTGATACAGAATTTTTCCATTTCAGTGTTTCAGTCCGGTGGTGTGGGGAGGATGGAAGGTATTAATTAGCCTTAAAGGGAAGAGGTTTTATAAAATTAAACCCGGATATTAAACTCATGACATTAAATTGGCTTTATATGCAGAATTTAATGTTGACTTACAAACTAAACGAGGACCGAAAAGGATGTTTTGTAAAAAAAATTAAAATATATATATATATATATATATATATATATATATATATATATATATATATATATATATATATATATATAAGGTTAGGTTCCTACATAAAAATACTCTTCCAAAGATAAATTGATCAGCAAAAAGAGCTCAATGCATTTATTATATAGAGCAAGTAAATAGTAATAAACCAAAAAATGCAAATTTACCTCATATTGGTTATAGACCTTATTCAACACCGGTAGATAGACTGAATTTGTGTCGACATTAGAAATTTAACTATGACAGATGTCGAGAAATTAATACAGAATTTATCCATTTCAATGTTTCAGCCTGACGAAATGCACGAATCTGTGGTCAGGTGAGGGTGGAATGTATTAGCCTTAAAGGGACGACGTTTTGTAAAATTAAAACCTGGATGTTAACCTTATGCCATTAAATTGGGGTTATATGAAGAATAAAGTGTTAATTTGAAACTAAAATTGAATCGAAATGGGTGTTTTATAAAAGAAAATTATATACATAAGATTAGGTTTAAAAATACAAGTTCCTACTTAAAAATACTCTTCCAAAGATAAATTATACTTAAAAATAAGATATATTTAATAAATTAAAAATAAGTTATGTTAAATTTAAGTAAGATTATATTTTTAACAAATTATAATTAACAAAATAATTGTTATATTAAAGAATAAAAAATATAAGAAAAAGTAAATTATACATTAGAAGAAAAAAATTAACTTTAAAGATAAGTTAAATCAAAAACAAGTTATATTAAAAAAAACAAAATGCAAATTTATATTAAAAACATTAAAAAATATAGATAAAGACGTGTAAGTGATAAAAGGAAATATAGAAATAGTTATGCATTCGACATTTGAAGAGTTAGAGAATTATAAGGTAATTATATAAAATATAACTATAAGGTTTAATTTATTACATTATACTTCTATAACTCCCAGTTAAATTTTTAATTTCGACACGAACTCAGTCTATACACCGGGGTTAAATAAGACTGGCGAAGTTTTCGTCGGTTGTAATGGATCTATCCCCCATATGAGGTCATTTTTCTTTTGT